GTTTATTTGTTTTGTATTGTGATATTTTTAATTATAAAAACTAATTAAAAACAAAATAGCTCTTTTTTCTTTTTCTTTTTATTGTGCTTGCTTTTTTTTGTTCTTTCTTTGTTAATTTAGCACATCATTTTATTTTCAACTTTTGCTTTTATTGGTAATTAATCTTATTATTTCATATTTTTTCTTCGTTTTTTCCTTCTAATTAACTATTTAATGATATATTTTTTCTTCAATATTTAAATAGTAAAAATTAAATTGGTGATGAAGGTGCATCAGGCTTAGGTTCTGCTTTAGCAAAGTGCATTAATCTCTCAAATTTGACACTTTTCCTTAGGTAAAAACAGTTTATTTGTTTTGTATTGTGATATTTTTAATTATAAAAACTAATTAAAAACAATAAAGCTCTTTTTTCTTTTTTTTTTATTGTGCTTGCTTTTTTTTGTTCTTTCTTTGTTAATTTAGCACATCATTTTATTTACAACTTTTGCTTTTATTGGTAATTAATCTTATTATTTCATATTTTTTCTTCATTTTTTCCTTCTAATTAACTATTTAATGATATATTTTTTCTTCAATATTTAAAAAGACACAATAAAATTGGTGATTAAGGTGCATCAAGCTTAGGTTTTGCTTTAGCAAAGTGCATTAATCTCTCAAATTTGACACTTAGCCTTAGGTAAAAACAGTTTATTTGTTTTGGATTGTGATATTTTGAATTATAAAAACTAATTAAAAACAATAAAGTTCTTTTTTCTTTTTCTTTTTATTGTGCTTGCTTTTTTTTGTTCTTTCTTTCTTTCTTTCTTTCTTTCTTTCTTTCTTTCTTTCTTAATTTAGCTTATCATTTTATTTTTCAACTTTTGCTTTTATTGGTAATTAATCTTATTATTTATTTCATATTTTTTCTTCGTTTTTTCCTTCTCATTAAATATTTAATGATATATTTTTTCTTCAATATTTAAATAGTGAAAATTAAATTGGTGATGAAGGTGCATCAAGCTTACGTTCTGCTTTAGCAAAGTGCATTAATCTCTCAAATTT